ACATGTTTCTCGGATGCATTTGCAGAAAACGTAAAACAATATATATATATATATATATATGTATATATATAGTTTGATTCTGTTGCTTTATATAATGCTAAAATATGTAAAAACATCACTAGCGTCCACTACTAATTTGTATCATTTTGGAGAAAAGTTTCATTATAGCCATTCGCTGCTAAATTTCTTCTTAATTACTCATCACCTGTTTTATAATACAATAATTTCCAACCATACTGACCAAAATGTACAGGTTTCGACAGACATTGTAGTCAGAGTGTGGGCGACAGAGAAACCTTTACAGTTTCTCGTGGAATCTCCTACAAGATGACACTACTCCTTAGGCGCTGTGGCTCGGGGCTGTTCCGGGTAGGATCTCCTTCAGCTTGTCCTTCGCGCGTTCTCTCCTGGTGGAGACCACGTGAGACCTGCTCGCCCCGTAGTATCCTCATTAACCCTTTTTGGGTCCCGAGGTCTAAATATTCGCAAGGACCACTAACGCCTGCGGGTAATAACAAGGTCTATCAATCCCGACGGCAGAGCTTGTAGCGGTGGCGGACTAGTGAATGTTTTCACGTGATCACTAACTATCGTGCCTCTTGGCGGCGCGAGAAGGTGTCTTTTCTGTATAAGGATATCCATTACGTTCAAGTAGTGGGTTTTGTAAGGCTAGAAATTACCCATGATTCTGCAACTACGTGTTTCTTGTTTGCTGTGGAATGAACAAATAGAATCTAATTTAGTATAATACATAAAAGAGACAAGCACAACTGAGGAAAGAATACCGGTGTTGATACAGGAGAGCTTTGTATGACACTGCAGTAGTGTGATTAATTAAAGACTTTAAAGAAAAGTAGCGCAATGTTTTACGTAAAATAACTTGAACCCCTTTTTATATTCATGTTGCTGCGTTCGAGTTGCAATAAATAAATAAGAAATATATCGGTTTTTTTTTCTAATTTTTGCTTGTTAAACTTTCCTTCTTTTACATTATATCTTTACAGAATTGCCCTTTTATATAACGTGACTGTTTTTTTATCACGTGTTTATATGGTTAACCCCTTTGTTCTATCCTGAATTTTTTGTAAAATGTTAAAGCAGACGTTGCTACTTTTTGTTTTGACAAGTTGAATCACATATATTACTCAACAAGTGTTAAGAAGATACAAATTTAAAGTTTGCATTTCATTAAACATTAGTTTATATATCTCTAGATATTTTATGCATGGAACTAATAGTTTGTGTTTATTTATGACGTCTATTGGGCAAACTGCAATATTGTTTTTCTATCTTTAAAAATGTTAAAGTCTTGCATTCTGATTTTGATATTGAGAAGAGCAAAAAAGGCAAACGATAAAAGCAGCAATTTTAATGAATATTCTTTTATTCTATAACAGATATGATACACGCCAAAAGTGTATTAGTTTTAAAGCTATTAAAATCAATATTCTACTCGACTTGCTATTAGTGTAAGCTCCCAATTCGGATGCAGCCTTTTAGACCTCTTCGCCATTCCCTGAATCCAGGTTTTCTACTTGGATTCAAGCCTTAAAGTCACCAGTTCTAGTCTAGTGGCTGTAGAGAGCCATTCGCCGTTAAATTTATTTTAAAAAAATCAGAAAATATATTAATACATTGCTAGAAGTTGTCAAGCTTAGTTTAGATTCATATCTACCAGAGAAACTTTGTTTCAACAAGGAGAAAATAGCAATCATTTTACCACGTTTGTCTGCATATTTCTCTTAATATAAAACAGATATGAAGCTCCTGTTATTATGTGAATATTTAGATCTGTTCAGAAACATAAGAATTGTGGCATTCGAGTATTTGGAACAGTTGTGGCAACAGCTAAGATTTGTTGAAAAGTTCGGTCCTGTACGTAAAAGTTACGCTACCTGCTAAATTGGCTAAAGTTACTTCCGTACTTGTAGATATTACTGTAAAATACGTTGTAAATCAAATGTATACAACAACTACTTATTTTTCAAGGGAAAATCAATTCAGTCGTTTATTCATTGAAAAAGATGTGCTCCTTTTTGGTAGTATTGAAATGGTATTAACAGATACGGTTCATATAGAAAAATTACTTCAGTTAAATTTGTTGTTATTTGTGCAGAAAAAATATTTTGCGGTCTTATATTTTATATTTATTGCCATTTAATATCTTCACTAATGTTTTAACTGTGAGTTGATTGTTGTATAAGTAAAATGAAAAAAAATTATGATAGTTGAACTTGTTGAGGGAATAACGGATTTCACATGTATTTTCCATTATGCAGTCCCCCAGTGGCACTGCGGTATGTCTGCAGACTTACAACGCTAGAATCCGGGTTTTGATACCCGTGGTTGGCATAGCACAGATAGCCCATTGTGTAGCTTTGTGCTTAATTACAAACAAACAAACATTCCATTATGCAAGAGAGTCTCTTAGATTCCACTGGCTTAACAATAAAATTAAAGGCTTATGAAGTTAAACTTCGAGTTACGAATTGTAAATAAATTCATTGTTTGCTTATTTAAGCATTTAAAAAAAAAGGATTCCGGAAGAGCTATAAGTTGGTGAAGTAGTTTTACCTTGAAGGTGAGGATTTATCCAAATGCCTTTAAGTGTGAAATATGTTTGGAGTTTTTTTTTGTTTTACTTTATTAGGGAATACTTAAAAATTAAAACGAGTTTATCAATGTTACAAAGTGTTGGCACGTATGGACTAATACTCACTAACAACCGTGTTTTTAAATTAGGCGTGATATTTACGGGCAGAGCTAGCAAGTAGATTTGCACACGTCACTTAAATACAAAAACTTGGTCTGTAAACCCAGACGCGGTTTGATCATAAATTCCATTAAGGTTTGGCCTCGTGAGACTGCAGGTTTTCCTTTAGCAATAATGTATGAGGTATTCGGATGTTCTTTAAATGTAACATTTTTGAAATATTTTATTTCGTTTACAAGTATTCCTTGAGGTTTCCTTAGAGACTTTAGTCTTCTCTCTAAACTTAGAATGTTACTCTTAATACTATGCGCCATCTTTCATACATGAGCACCTAGATTTTTTTATTTTTTCTGCTGAACGCCATAATGTATTTTCCATAAGTACATTGCTATTTAAGTACTGTTCTTTCGTGCGAAGGTTAGCGACAAAACGCGTTTACCTAACTTCTGATTAATGTTCTGTAGAAATATATATATTTCTTATATAATAAATATAAGAAAATTATATAAATTTTGACTTTCGTTTTCACTGCGATTTTCAGGTTATTACATGTTTATTGTAATATCCAATACGTTTATAGGACCACTTTTTGAAGTGAAGTTCATAGATTGTCTTATATTTATTTCAAAATAAATTATTCAGTTATATGTTAAAGTCATTTGTTATATGAAAGCACATAAGCTGCTAAAATCTATGTCATGGCAACATCCAAAAATTGCAGGCTCGAGTGCTACCAGCTTTTATCAACTACGTCATTGATACCAGTGTTACCCAATTGAAATTTGGATTGTTTTAAGAGTGGAAGGGAAGCTGGTCTCGTTTTTTAAATACACATCTTTACACTCTTTTCCGAAAGGGAGTGAGGCTATTCACCTCTCCAGCTATAAGACAAGGGCCAGTATAAAATGAAAATTTTGTCCACTCTCCGAACAACTGGGTTTACATAGGTCTAACCCTATCGCCACGGATATCCTTTACTGCACATGGCCAATTAGTATAGCATAAGATCTTAGCTAATAATCTATATTTTAATAGCATTTAAGTTTTAAGTTCTTAATTTTACAAGGCAATATAAAAAATAAATTTTCCCTAGTGGGACACGCGTGACACATTTTCTCTAGTCATCTTCTCTTCTCTAGTTATCTTCTCTTCTCTATTTTATCCACCACCCCTCCAATAACTACAAAACGAAATTAAACGTAAATTACTCTATAAAATCGTCGCTGTTCAGACAAACCATAATTTTTATAGCCTTCAATTCTGTTTGATTACAGAGCTATCAAATAGAAAATCAGACCCCCTCCTGTCACATCCTCCTTTTCAGGATTTATTAATAGTTCTCGCTTACGTTTAATACTCAGGGGGGGGGGATAATGTGACAATAAATAAGTTCGTTTCTGCAAATATAACATACGGAATTTACTCTACAGGTGAAACAGCTTCCACAGGAAACATTTTTTTACTGTTGTTTGTAGTCACGAACAGTTATAGAATGATAAGTAAGGTTATGACCAATTTAAAAAGCCTGCACAGAAATATCCCATATGAAGCACAAACAGGTACATAATAGAACAATATCTTCCCAAATTTAAGTTGCATATTTCCAATGAGATATTCTGTTATGTAGCAGACCGTTGTTAACAATGTTATAATTCATGCAGAAGTAGTATTAAATGAACGCGTCGATGAGGAATACATTGCTAGCTTGCAACGATTTCACGCAATGTGTTTCAGTAACTTGAGTTTCACTATCGCCGATGTCTCGTGAGCAATTCATTATTGAACGTTCATAGGTGGAAAAGGGCCGCCTCCTGTTATCTTATCCAATGTGATGTGATAAAATCAATAAATCAAGCATTCTATAATTTATATTCTGATGATGTAAATAAATTGATATGATATCTATAATGTATTATAAGTATGTATGATGTTTAACCTAAGAAGTTCCAGATTTATTTTAAGCAGAACCCCTTATGATAGTAATATATCAATCATTAATAAGTAAATCGCTTATTTCGCTACTGAATTACAGTTGATTTTTTTTCATCATGTCGTGTAGTCAACTTTTAAGCTGGGTTAAAATCTGTATAACTAAATATATTTATCTAATGAAATGATATATTTTGTAATTTGTCTTAACGTTTTCTTACCTGCAGAACATTTCATGACAAACGTAAAGTAGAAACAGGTATAATTTGATATATATATGAAGGTTCAAATTGTTTACAAATCAAGAAAAGGAACTGATTCAAGAGTAGCGTTAATGTAATTTTCCATTCTTCTACAGGTCTTGGATGGATTCTACTTTAGTAATGAACTCCACTGATTCCAACTTTAACCACAAAATAGGAATCCCGTGTGTAGCTGCTACCTCTCGATACACAGCACCTGTACACATTGATGTCGGAGGAACTATATACACCTCTTCATTGGAAACTCTCACCAAGTAATTATACATTGTTTTGAGATATGTTAGGACAACAAAAGTTGTGTTTATATACATGTAACAAATAGCCCTGTGTTTACATGATTGTGCTGATGTTCATCCTTTTCGCAGAAATGGGGAGAAGTTCATCTAAACTTTTATCTGCTAATCATGTGTTTGAATTTATTTATTTATTTGCTTATTTATTTATAGCTTTCGCCACCGTTAACGTGGCAATATTTGTACAAAAAGAGGCATTTGCGATTCTACTGTTTATTGTCATTTGTCTTTTTAGGGCAAAGTTACACAATGAGCTATCTGCGCCATGTTCATCGCAAGGAATCGAACCCCGCATTTCAATGTAGTAAGGGGGCTTATTTATTGTTGAAGTTACAATTTTCCACATTAATATTCTATGCAAATATGAAATCCAATTTTATTTTCATTATCACTTTATTATTTCATTTTACAATTATTTTGTAGGTCAAAAAGAGAGAGAGAGAGAGGAAAATAATTGACAGAAATCATTACTTTGGACATTAGCAAGAGCGTAATCATCAAATGTTCACTAAAACTTATGAGGAGGGAGTAAACGTCACGACTTTTAAAATGAAGCAATAATGTTTAATACAATGATAGCGTTAACTTTGTACGAAATACTTTTGTAAATTCGTGAAGCATCATGTCACGGAAGAGGCTTTAGAGCAACAATTGCAGATGTGAAATCAAAAAGTGAAAAATTTGTATCACAAAGAAGTGGGAACTAATAAATAAATGTTTTTAAATTTCACAACTTTTCGGGCTGGAATGTCTTTCCTCTGGTGGTTTTAAACTTTGATGGAAGAAAAGGTTTGATACCACAAAGGGGTAGCAAACACAGAACGTTTGAAATGAGCAGCATTCAACAGATATAAAGAAGAATACGCGTGAATCGGTTGCAAATCAATATTACTTTTAAACTGGGATAACATTAATATAAGATGATATTCAAAATATTGTGGTTTTAAATATATAATGTTAATAGTGGATTTGGGTTTTAACAATAGTTATATTGTCTTTAACCAGCATAGATATCCTGAAAGATTGAAGTTAATATTTGCAGTACGCCTTCTTCTAGTTCAATATTTTATTTATGAAGTTAAAATGTATAAAAATATTGTTGTAATGATTTCTGTCTTTAGTTGGGCTCTTTTTGATTATTTGACAAAAACAATGCGAAGTCCAGTCTACTTAACAATAACGAAAGCCATTTATTTCTTCACCCGTTACGTACAAGTTCAATAGGCTTCGTTGATAGGCCGAACTAACAAGATAAACTAAACATGCAATTAATTGTTAAGTTTCCTCTTGTATCTACGATACAACTCAAAACTGGCTGATTAACAAATTCACAAAATAACCAATCACCCACTGACTGATTGGGTAACTGGTTAACTCTCTAACTCATGTTTTTATATATCTCGATATTTATGCCTTCCATCACATCTGACAAATATTCGAGACGCCATGTCAATTTTATACATAGGAAACTACACGTTATCACGCGTTATCTGTTTCATGCAAAAACTCCCAGCAAACAGTACAAAAGGTCTACATTAAAATATTAAAAGCGTAGCCTACAACAATATAATTTCATTTTTTAATACCTTAAGCTTATAATTATTCAACAAGCGGGTCGTTGTTTGAAATGTTCTGCAACGCTCCTTAAATAACTTTTTTTGCATGCTTTATGAAAGTCGAGTAAATTATATTTTCCTGTTCATATCTGTCTTGCAGTTTTACTACCTTTAAGAAAAGAAATTATTCATAATATGACTAATAATTGTCTGCCAGAATGTCAATAAGACTGCTAAATACCAAAATTATGTTGTTAGACTGCATTTTGTATTAAACCTGTACATATTGACTAGAAATGTCTATTATGAGACTCGTGTTTTAACAGGTGAGACGAGGGTTGAGAGAAACCACACTAGTAGATATCTGTTTTTAGGGCTAAATGGTTGACACGTTAGTATGCAGCATGCTGGTGTTGTGTTATGGGGTGGAGTGAATAGCCAAGGTCGTAAAGTCTACATTATCATCTACACACCAAGGCAAGATCACCTGCAGGCTGTTAGCCATGATATAATTGTCTGGGTGCTTTCAGTGGTGTCTTAACAAGGTTTGAACAATTTGAAGTATCAAAGTGATTATATTAACAATGGCAAAGGTGCGATCTATAATTATACGATACTGCATATACCTAGCATGTTTTAATCATGTTCTTTCTTGGTGAACTGTATATGATAAAATGTCGGATAACGCCATATGATAAAAAGAATGCCAACATTTATTGTTTTTTATTTTAAAACTTTATATAAACGATGACGAGTAGAAATCGGTTGAATATCTGTGTAGATAACCAATATTGTTTATTCATCAGATAATAAGGAATTTTTACTTTCGAATTTAGGTCGTAAAACATAAGGAAGGAACAGACAACATAATAACACTTATTTTAGACCGGTACCCGTTGAAACAATTCAACAGTAATTTTTCTCAAAATAGTGATGAGTGATTATAAAATGTGCGGTCAACACAATTCCTTGGATCAGAGCATATATGCAATATGATTGTTTAGTAGGTCTTTACAACCCTGTTTTATAATTCCATGTGTTATTTCAATAAGGAAGATTACATTACGTTTGTTTTTTAGCAAAGGAGACCGACTGCGATGCATTGTTGTAAAAAATGTTTGGGTTTCGATGCAATGGATGCATCCAGCAGAATAGAGCGCTCAGGTTCGCAAGGTAGCCGCGGGAATTTTTTTCTGCTAAATGCCACCATTTTCTGATATTTACCGAGAGCATGAAAAGATCGCTACTGAATTGAGCGCTTTTTGACAGTTGTCATCTCCATGATGCGTGTCAAAGGGGAGATATTTAATTCAATTTATTTGACATGGTACAAAATAATCATGCGTGTACATAATACGGCCATGACTATAGATGTGTGTGTATATATATATAAACAGAACAACAATGAATATTCACTCAAACATATTCCTCTCTTTATGTTTTTTTTTTCATTTTTACTTTTTTCTTCAAAATTTTTCTTTAAAACAGTCGACGAGGAAGTCCCATTTTTTTCGTGAAATTCCCTCGCAAAAAGAAACATTTTTATTCTTAAGTTTTTTTCAAAGATTAACTGTTCAGCAGATACAATAATTGACGGATCGTTTTGAACTTAATTTAAAATCAATTTCTTAAAACAAAACAAATTTGTTTTCCTTAATGCTATTTTACGGTGATACAACTTATTATATAAAAACAATATTTTACAGCCATTCATTTTTCACCCAGTGAAGTTTCATGTTTGTTTCACCGCAGCATTTAACATTGATGAACATTTTGTTACAAGAAGAAATTTCAAATCCTAGTAGGATCTGAATCTACGCCTCGGTTAAATTAGAAAGTTATTTTACAAACTTATCAATCAGGTCTCAAATAGTTATACATTTTTTGTTTCTATGTATTACGGGTTTCGAGAATTCATTTGTTATCAACGTATGAGACGTTCCCATTGAGTTCATTCTCTATATGTAAGATATACTGATCTTTTAACTCTCGAGAGCATCTTTCAGTAAATATATTAACTAGATTTGAATCGAAATATACTAACCTGCTACCATTAACGTAGGCAGAGATAAGATGTTAATTAGATAATTCTTGTATTCTTAACGAGTTAAGTTTTTTTTAACGAACTTTTAGATTAATGATATATGTTCTACGAGTTAAAATTATTTTGTTGTGTAACAGCACGACTTTGGCACTTAGTTATGGGTTCTACTACGTCAATAAAAGCAATTGTATTCATATAATTGTCTGACATGCATTACGTGGCACGTTATCTAAAATGATAAACTATAATTTTATTCGTGTGGCTTGCATGTGACTTGAACATTTCTAATATATTCTTTGTAATTAGGTTTTCCAGTGGTTTGACTCAATCTGAGGTAGGTTCATCAAATCTAATGTCGTTTATTTTGTTATACAGATTTGATGAGAAACACCTGTTTTTAACAGATAAATCTCTTTAATGTTTGACAGTTTGGTAAGAACTGATCGTCATGAGTTGTTGTCGGTAAATAGACTTTGCAAATATACGACACAGGAAACATTTTGTTATAAGTGTATAACGGATATACACCCTGTTTACTAATATATATACATAGCACTTGCAGCCAATGATAAAATGAGGTTTTAGTACAACAACCCATTCTCTAAACCTAACTTTACCGTCTTTAGTTCAGGTCAGAGGAATGACGATGACAGAATGTATGACCCCATCTCACATCTGAGAAGCTTTACTAGGCCAGGACACAGGTGTCAAGATAGCCTAGAGGGTTGCCGACTTCCTTACTCTTAGTGTCTGCAGCGCCCTCTCTGTGTCAGTAACATTTCAAGGGAAAGGAAGAAAAACGACCTAAAAGCGGACTAAAAGGATGTTCTGTTGGGACAGATGGTATCTTTATGTGGCTTTAGTGACCTTATGCAACCGTTGTTAGACTTATAACTCTAGTTTTTGAAGAAGCTGGTACGCAATAATGAAGAAAAGCCAGTATCCATACGACCTTTTGTTCTTACAACTAATCAACATGAATTAAGAAAACATTTTGATTAGCCGAATAGGAAGAGTTAACTAGTGATATCGGAACGCAATGTTGATATATATTTTAGCAAGGATTTAGCAGATTTTTTATGAATCATCTACAGGAATATGTATTTTGAAATCTAGGTGACCTAGTTTTTCGTACTTGTAACCAGTACTTCACATTAGAAAAAATAATGTAGTTCGAAGATAATTTTGACATTATGAAAAAAAAAAGAAAAGAAAAAGAAACGTTTACTGTATTATTTATCATAATCAGAGTAGCATTAACAAGTTCGAAGCAACTTTTAGTTTGTAAGTTTTGCGTCGTGATATTTAAATTCATATTCCTTAAGCGATATTCACACGGCTTTTTGCACACAGTTGAAGTC